GTACGTCGGCGCTGAGTGTGTAGCAAATATATTACTAATACGTATCACGCGGCGTCCAGAAGGCGACGATTTGTGTTTTTCCTTGAAAAATATTGATTTATCAAGGTAAGTATTTTGCTAATAACAAGAAAGTTATTTATTTATCAACTTTTGTTTTTGGGTGGTTATAATGTATCTTTATGTAGCCTTTTACATTGTGTAGAAAATGAAATCCAAAACAGTAGTTTTTCTTTGAAACGGGTTAACCTCAAAAGTGACCATATGGGGCAAAGTGAATACCTAGGAAGGCGCTGTGGGGCCACAAGAGTTTTATTTTTAACTCACTATAGTCACTTAATATCTAACTATAGTTAGATATTAAGTGACTATAGTCAGATAGTATCTAACTAGAGTTAGATATTAAGTGACTATAGTCAGATACCTAACTGACTATAGTCAGATGTTGTCAGACTATAGTCAGTTATAACTGACAAGTGCACACTGCGTTGCGCATATCCCCTGATTTCTCCGCGAATTTACTCACAGAATCTGCAACAAGCTAACCTGTCGGACAAGTTCAGACAGTGGAGACAATACGTCCGTTATTGGAATGGATTTAGAAATTTTTTTACTGGAGCGCGGCTTAAATGAAGATGTTATAAATATTTTACGAAGTGAAAAGGTAAGTTCTTATATATGTATTAGTTGGCATCTGTCAGATTGTCATAAATTTACTCCATATTTAGTAAAATAAAATACATAAAGTGTCATATATGTATGTGATTTGATTTTGAAATGTTAAGTGTATTAAGAAAGAAAATTTTAAACACCCTGTATTTCAAAAAGGAGGTATATTAGATCCATGTTTAAACGAACTTTTTACTTATTTTTAAATTTACACGCCGTCAAAATTAACGCACCACTAAAAAATTACCTAAAATTCAGTCAATTTTCCCACAAACTGCTTATCCGATTTTGATGATTATTATTTTTTAAATGGTAGCTTATTTCTTTAGTAAGTGATACAACTGTTTATCTGTATTTCAGTTTTGAATATATACAGAGCGTTAAAAAGACATGTTTTTTTTTCATAAAATTTGGAACACCCTGTGGCTGGTGCTAAGGCTAAAACGGAGGGTATCTGCTGCAGTTAGGTTGCATGGCCATCTCTTGGTCTGAACAGCCTGACTTTTATCACACTGCTGCTGACACACGAATCACAGCATATAAAGCAATCAGCAGGTTATCTGACGTCATTTGAAGAGAGCATCTGTCAAAGACGATAGTGGCACACTAGGTACTAAACCACAATTATTGTACAACCTTTATTAATTATTAAAATTTGTGTACCTATTTGACAATCGGTAATACGGTTTTGTTACAAGGAACAAGGAAGTAGAAAACCAAATTATTTTAGTCAGAAACTGTCTGCTCTCCTAAAATGGCGTCCAAAAACGTCACACAAAGACCTTAGAGATCTTTAGCTGATTGCCATAAAGGGTGTTTCTTAAGTAGAGTCCAGGAGCGTATTCTGTGGATTTTTTGTTATATAAATGTGGGTTCTTAGGACAGCTACAGCATGTCAAAAATTAAAAAAAAAAACAAATGCATGTGTTCGATCTGCAGTTTCAAGAAGATCTGAAGCATGTACTTTGGCTGAAGGTGGCGATTTCCAACATTTGTCATAAATCATAGTAAAGTAATTCCATTGTTAATTTATTATTTTGTTATAATTTTAAGTAATGTAATGAGTATAGTAAAAATGCACATGATAAAATAAATCAATTTTGTTGTTAATCGGTTTGGAACACAAAAAAAGTGTTTCTTGATTGATCAGAAATTGATCAGAAATTCTGATTGAGCTGATTTTTTTATAATGAAATGACTGATTGATATATTAACTATATTGTTTCGTTGTAGATAGATTCTGAAGTAATAAAGCAAATTCCCGATGGAGATTTAATGAAATATATTCCAGCCTACGGAGATCGAGTGGCAGTTAGACAATTTTGTGGTAGGAAAAATAGGTCAGACAGAAAATTATCACTTAAAGAAGCTACAACAGAAGATAAATAAATCCCGTCGTGATAAGATTTCTAGCAGCGATGAAGATGCAATGACCACACAGAAGAAAACAAAGTACGGGAATGAAAAACCTACACGACTAGTTGACATGGGATGGCTTTGTAGCTTAAATGGTGACAGATATATTCAAGTTCGATCTAAATGTGGTGGCGATACGAGGAAGTTTAGCGCTTTAAAATCATTTAAAAAGGATAGCCTTATAAAGAAAGGGATAGAACTATTTTTCTCTGGAGATGTATCCCCAAAAGGAAATTTGGAAAATACAGACTGGTCTATTGACATGGTCTAGCCATATTATTGTTAAACAATTTAGTTAGAAAAACATGTTTATTTTATTTATTTTCACTTAAATCATAAAGTACAGGTTTATTAAATAAAAATTTGAGTTTTTAAGGCTTAAAAATTTTGAATAATTGTTGTAAATTTAGTTGATGTTATTAAGTCCCTTCTGTTTCCTTTCATATCCCTTTGTATCGTGTTGAATAATATGAAATATAACATACAATTTGATTTATCAAAATTTATAAAACTAAAGTTTATATAAGTAAACAGAAGAGATGGCTGGAACTAATATGCCTGTAAATGCGTTAGATTTCTTTTTTTTTCTTAATTTAATATTTCGTTTAACTACAATGCAATATTTGTTTTGCAGGTGATTGAGGGATTATTGACTTTAGTTGCTTGACTTTTATTGTTCGTGTAAAGTGTGTGTGGCATTTTGTAGTGTGTGTCTACTTTCATTATTTCACTTGTCGGTGTTGTGCGATATATGTCGTGTAGTGTGTACTTGTGTTTATGCTAACTCACTTATTAGAACATTAGACTCTTAACTCAGATTGCCAGTTCTTCCCACAATTTAAATTTGTTTTACCTGTGAAATTTGCTTTTTTATTGACTTTTACTAATGTTTATTTACCCCACTCACTGCTTGGCTCCATCTCACAAAAAAGGGGCCTATTTAATATTTAACCAAAAGTGATTTATTTATGAGTTTTAAATTTCATGAAAGTTTCCTTTAAATAACCTGTAGATTCCAAATTTATAATAAAAAGTATATCATATCATTTAAAATAAAGAAGTTGATGTGAACTTCCGGTACGACTTTACAAAACACCATTTTTTTACATTTATTTATTCATTCCATATTTAGTAAAAGCGAAATTTTTTCAATTCTTAATCTAATGTACAGATTAATTGCCTTGTAAGGATCTCGACTTTTTTCAAGTCTTAGATCTTGCATAATGATATTACATAAATCAAACACATCTTTGTCACAAGGTTCAGTCAGAAATAAGGAGTTTTCTTCGCAGTATGCTATGTCCTGATAATTGACAGTAACTAAATAATTATCCGATTCATATAATTCTGGCAAATCAAACATTACCGACGGTCGGCCGTATGCTCCTCTTCCGTTTCTTGACTTCCGAATCTTGTGATAATTCCATTCGCATTGCATTTGGTCGTGTTCCTCCTATAAAAAAAATATTGTGTACACCTACAGGATGAGGCAAATATATAAACTTATAACGAAACAACACAAATTATACGTCACGCTTGTGCTCTTCCATGCTGCATCTACGATGAATTAGTTTTTATATTTTGCTTTATAAATAACCTGTTAAAGACATTATTTATATATACTGTCTCACATAAGAATGACCTGCATGGAGATCTAGGAAACGGCAGGAGGTATAGATTAGCTTAAATGGGGAATGTAAAAGTTCCGCAATTAGGGGGACTTTAAAATAGTGCAAACGGATCTCAAAAGTTATTTTTATTTTTTGTTATTTAAAAAAAAAGATTTTTTCGATTTTCGTTTTAAATTTTTTTGTAGCCTTATTAAAGAGAAAGTAATTTTTATTTTTCCCTATTTGATAAAATAAATCTAGAAAAAATTTAAAACGAAAATAGAAACTCCTTTTTTTTCAAAATAACTCAAAATCGAAAAATAATTTTTGAAATCCGTTTGCACTGTTTTAACATCTTCCTAATTGCGCAACTTTTACCCCATTTAAGTAAATATGTAACTCTTACCGTTTCCGAGATCGGCATGCAGTTCATTATATTATGTGGAACAAAATTTCGGATTTTTAGATAATGGTACTGTTGGAGAGCTCTAAATAGATGATTTGTAGATAGAACAACTAGTATTAGGACGGCAGTATAGCTTTATGGATATTATACGCTTAGGGCGTTAAGCACCGTTTACGATCGAGATTCATACAATACTTATTTACACACTATCAAATATACCTTTATAAATGGTTTAAGGTAACCCTCCACCAATGCGGTAATGAATGAGCGTAAAGCAGATGAGTAATAAACAATGGGATCATAGTATTTTCACATCTCAACTCCGCCTAGCTTTAGTACCGCGACCGATCCTATTATTCCTATTGATGGATGTTTATTACACATCTTGTCTTTTTCTGCTCATTTCCGCTTTAGTGGACGTTCATCCGTTTAAATTGATTAGGGTGATCATCCGCCAAAGCGAAAAGGAGATGCGTAATAATAAACAAACAACAAAATCGCGGTACGAAAACTAGGCTGAAACAGCTGTGAAAATACCGCGGTCCTATCTGTTGTTCACTCTCACTCCGCTTTGGTGGATGATCTCCTTTAACGTGTGAGCGTAGCATGGAAGATAATTATTACAGTCGTTACAGTAATTATAAAAAACTTACCTGAATAATATCTAGGAAACAATACTGAATCTATCTAATCTATCTTTATCTAAAAAACTGCCTGAAAAGTAACCATCATCCTTTACGACTTCAAAAAGATTAATCCAAAACTGGGAATTGTGTTTTCTTAAAATCGACCACCAACATTCTATTTTTTGATTAGCTTGACTCGTCCCATATAGAAAAGCCGGTCTCGATGAATTTGTTACTTGATTACGGTTAAGGTAAAATATTTGCATATTTTCTACATGCCCGTTTTCAGTTCCCATGTCAGAACGTATTGTTAATGGACAACCTTCTAGTTCTCTTACAGATTCTAAGTAGAATCCAGCTATAACTTTCGGATTACTTGTGGCACGAGAAGCCTTGATCCAAATAATTTTTCTGGAAAAACCGTCTATACACCCATTTAGCCCTATTCCATACGGCTTTAATTTGTCATAAGAATCCATATGCCAAATAAAATTGGGACCATTGCTATGGTATTGCCTTCTTCTTAATCTCTTACGTTGCCTATTTGATACACCACGAGAATTTAGAATTTTAAGTAGGGTACGAATTGTATTTTGCTTCACTGTAAACCCTGCTTGAAGACAACGAAGATGCATCCATCTATATCCATGTAAACAACCAGATCCATGTATTTCATTTATTAAAAACGGCACCAATGTAGTGATATTTGTATAATGTTTCTTGCGATATAAATTAAGCTTGCGAAGGCGTCGTTTTAGAGAACGTTCACTCATGTAAATGTTANACGCTGAACTGCACTTTGAAAAATTTTGTACTCAACAACGCCGGGAAATTGATTTTGAAATTCTATGAAACATTCCTCAATAGAATACTTCCATATTCCATCAATCTTGCGTCCATTTCTAAAGTAGGACTCTATGATAAACACTTTTTGTTCTTGAGAAAACACCATTTTAAACGCTTTTTAAAACGAAAATATTCAAATTGATAGCGGCGATATAGCGCTTTGACAGATGACGTTTAAGTTCATTTGCTATACGCTACGCCCTACGTCCAAATTTTCAGAACCAACTTGACCACGTTTTTATTTGAACGCTCGTTATAATAATATAATTTATATATAGTGTGTCCCGTTTTTCAAGTTAACACGTACGTTTTTTTGTTTTTTAATTCATTTAATGGTCCGTTTTACAGATACAAATTATTTTAAGTTGAAAAATATTGTTTTTTGACGGCCCTTATCTCAAACTCCTTTGAAGTAAATGATGTAATCTTGCAGAAAGTGGTTTCTAAAGGTACCGATTAAGAATAGGGGAAACCCGGGCAAAGCGAATACCCCGGACAAAGTGAATATTCCCCACCACTCTCAAATAATTCGCTTACAGGTCGCAACGCGTTACCATAAAAACGTTCGTACGTCGGCGCTGAGTGTGTAGCAAATATATTACTAATACGTATCACGCGGCGTCCAGAAGGCGACGATTTGTGTTTTTCCTTGAAAAATATTGATTTATCAAGGTAAGTATTTTGCTAATAACAAGAAAGTTATTTATTTATCAACTTTTGTTTTTGGGTGGTTATAATGTATCTTTATGTAGCCTTTTACATTGTGTAGAAAATGAAATCCAAAACAGTAGTTTTTCTTTGAAACGGGTTAACCTCAAAAGTGACCATATGGGGCAAAGTGAATACCTAGGAAGGCGCTGTGGGGCCACAAGAGTTTTATTTTTAACTCACTATAGTCACTTAATATCTAACTATAGTTAGATATTAAGTGACTATAGTCAGATAGTATCTAACTAGAGTTAGATATTAAGTGACTATAGTCAGATACCTAACTGACTATAGTCAGATGTTGTCAGACTATAGTCAGTTATAACTGACAAGTGCACACTGCGTTGCGCATATCCCCTGATTTCTCCGCGAATTTACTCACAGAATCTGCAACAAGCTAACCTGTCGGACAAGTTCAGACAGTGGAGACAATACGTCCGTTATTGGAATGGATTTAGAAATTTTTTTACTGGAGCGCGGCTTAAATGAAGATGTTATAAATATTTTACGAAGTGAAAAGGTAAGTTCTTATATATGTATTAGTTGGCATCTGTCAGATTGTCATAAATTTACTCCATATTTAGTAAAATAAAATACATAAAGTGTCATATATGTATGTGATTTGATTTTGAAATGTTAAGTGTATTAAGAAAGAAAATTTTAAACACCCTGTATTTCAAAAAGGAGGTATATTAGATCCATGTTTAAACGAACTTTTTACTTATTTTTAAATTTACACGCCGTCAAAATTAACGCACCACTAAAAAATTACCTAAAATTCAGTCAATTTTCCCACAAACTGCTTATCCGATTTTGATGATTATTATTTTTTAAATGGTAGCTTATTTCTTTAGTAAGTGATACAACTGTTTATCTGTATTTCAGTTTTGAATATATACAGAGCGTTAAAAAGACATGTTTTTTTTTCATAAAATTTGGAACACCCTGTGGCTGGTGCTAAGGCTAAAACGGAGGGTATCTGCTGCAGTTAGGTTGCATGGCCATCTCTTGGTCTGAACAGCCTGACTTTTATCACACTGCTGCTGACACACGAATCACAGCATATAAAGCAATCAGCAGGTTATCTGACGTCATTTGAAGAGAGCATCTGTCAAAGACGATAGTGGCACACTAGGTACTAAACCACAATTATTGTACAACCTTTATTAATTATTAAAATTTGTGTACCTATTTGACAATCGGTAATACGGTTTTGTTACAAGGAACAAGGAAGTAGAAAACCAAATTATTTTAGTCAGAAACTGTCTGCTCTCCTAAAATGGCGTCCAAAAACGTCACACAAAGACCTTAGAGATCTTTAGCTGATTGCCATAAAGGGTGTTTCTTAAGTAGAGTCCAGGAGCGTATTCTGTGGACAAAAATAAGGTTTTTTTTGTTATATAAATGTGGGTCCTTAGGACAGCCATTATCCAGCTACAGCGTGTCAAAAATTAAAAAAAAAACAAATGCATGTGTTCGATCTGCAGTTTCAAGAAGATCTGAAGCATGTATTTTGGCTGAAGGTGACCATTTCCAACATTTGTCATAAATCATAGTATAGTAATTCCATTGTTAATTTATTATTTTATAATTTTAAGTAATGTAATGAGTATAGTAAAAATGCACTAGATGAAATAAATCAATTTTGTTGTTAATCGGTTTGAAACACAAAAACCTAGCAAACACATTTGATTGTCGTTATATTACCTGGTTGTAACAAACTTAATATTACAGTATTGCATCCTGGTTATATGATAATGCTTAATAACATCTATCTAAAAGAGTTATTATAACAAAGTTACTTTAATTTACAACAACGCACGTAACAACTGCAGTTACAATTGTTATATAGAAGTTCAATTAAATAAATTTTAAACAACAATATAACATAAATATAATATAATTGCAACTGCAGTTAAAATTGTTATATAGAAGTTCAGTTGAAGAAATTTTGAACAATATAACATATATATATATATATAGTTATGTTTTATATAAAAGAAGGATGTATTTATGAGTTTTAAATAGAAAAAAAATCTGTAACTGTACGAAAGCGTTATAACGAAACGACAGAACTGTCAAATTCAAAACATAATTTGAGTTTGCACACTCCAGAAATTATGCAAATAAGCTTATGTTCTACAAATAGTAGCACAGAACGATAAAGAACAATCCCAAAATGCAAATAATTCAATAAAAGTTCTGACATGAGGATATTTGAAAAATATTGTACAATTTTGACAGTACTGTATCGGAAAGAAAAGTTTTTTTTTACATATAGGTCCGAAATATGCTATCAAACCAATAAATAAATAAAATATAAAGTACCTTAATGTAGAAAGTATATGTGGAATCAAACTCATACGTTATTAAAAGCAGTTATGTGACGTAATAGTATTGACATGTATAGCTCCGTTACAAGTTTGAAAATTTATTTGTGTTGAAATGTTCCTGTAGTATAAAATCATGTATATAGTGTGTATAAATGTATAAATGTCTGTATAAATGTTCCTCGGAACGGGATGCTGAAAACTTTTGTCTATTTCTACCTAAAAAAATGCATAAAGGCTGTGTAAAAAGTGATGTATAGACAGTAATTGGGTTACAGAAAAGACAGGCATGCACAAATTTAATCCATGCATTAAAATATAAGTGTAATCTGGTAAAATGTGCTACATTGCAATATGAACTACAACATAACCTAGCAATGTGAAAGTGGTATCAAAATATTCAAGAAAGGAAATATAATTCAAATATAAACAGTACATGCAGTCAAATTTTCAGCAAAAGCTAGAATTTTTAAAATAAAATTTTCCAAAATTACAATTTATTGTTGCCATAGCAATATTCGTTTGTTTTTGTTTTGCTATTTAATCTCTGCGTGGGATTGAGTAGTCCAGTTCATTTTTGGCAGCGAGAGAACTCACATCGA